CTAACGAGATTGCAGAATGTGCTGAATAAAGCGGGTTCCATTCGTGCGGCTGTACGCATTCGCTCCGGATGTCCCGTCAGTAACTCATGAGCGTAAGCTCGACCGGTTGACGTTGACGTGTGTCGTGGCTGGTGCATGTATCTGCTAGCTACGTTAGCCAGCAAGTCAGACATAATTATACGTAGCGCCGCTAGACGACCATTTAAGACTTGCTCCACCAGGCTGTGGCGTGACGAACTATCTGATCCGAGGGTAATGTCTAAGTTCGTCAGTCGTAAGGGATCGAAGGAGCCAGCCATTCTGGCCGACTATGTGTGGTGTGCGAGCTACTCTATTTAGGGGTAAAATATGTTGGTCACGGCTCTAGAGGGAAGAGTCTTGCCTTGGCGAAATGTGTCTGCTTCCTTAAGGGTAGGAGGACGAGGGCCCAATTCGGCAGGCGTTAAACAGGCGTTAATACCAGGCTCGGGGACCGGCTACAGTGAAAAGATAAGCGAGCGGTCGGTTATCAAGGTTCGAGATAGGCGGATTGATGTCGAGCCTGAGTGCGTTAAAATGCCTGCCGAACAGCCCTTTTAACGCCTGCGTTTTTAGCAATACGATGGTTCCACGAAACCGTTTCCCCTAGCAAAGTGGCGCACCACTGATCCGCTGCATGGCCGAGAGCTTACACCATGCAAGGGATCAGTGATGCGACCAATCATATGCGACTGGTCGAATGAACTGGCCAATCATATGATTGTTCGAAGGTGAACAGAGATTGTGCGATCTAGCAGAGCAACTGCATTCTGGCCTCTTCGAAAGTTCAGCTCGCCATCATTGTTGGCTTCGTCGTTATTTCGACCCGGCGTTTTTCGAGGCTGGTTAAAAAGGCCATAACGCCCATAACGCCAGCCAAACTGGGCCGAGGTTGGAGGGGTGCGTTTCCCCTATCGGATTTTTTTTCGCCAGGAGAAACAGTTGTAAGGGCAGTTAAGAGAGATTGTGCGATCCAGCAGAGCTGAGAGCGAGTGACCTGTAGCCAGAGGAGTGGCCTGTGCCGAGGACCAGGTGAAGCCGAAGCGCTGAAGGAGCTGCTGCACCATGTGTGACTGAGTCAGTGTGATGGTGCGGCGTGCTCTGTCCTGGGTGATCTGCAAGCCGATGTGGCTGCGCAGTTCACCCAGGTCTGTCCACGTGTGTCTCTTCTGCAACTCCGAATTCACGTGGGCGAGAGCTCAGTGTCAGCAGTGGCAAAGACCAAGTCGTCGACGTACACGAGGATGTAGAACAGCGGCAGCGAAAAGTCGGTGCGCAGAAACAGCGACGGGTCAGCAGTAGAAGGCGCGAACCCGAGAGCCGCAAGAGTAGTCCTAAGTGTGTCGTGCCACTCACGTGGCACCTGGCGGAGAACGTAGAATGGCCGCCGGAGGCTCCACTAGGTACCAGGAGAAAACGACCGAGTGAAGCCAGGAGGGCGGCACAGCCAGATCTCCTCGTGCAGGCTGCCCTGCAAGAAAGCTGTGCTGAAGTCAAGAGAGTGAAGCTCGTAGTCAAGCTGAGCGGCAACGTGCAACAGTACCCGAAGAGTGGTCATCTTCGGGGTGGGGGAGAAGGTCTGGAAGAAGTCGACTCCCTCCCGCTGACTGAAGCCTCGAGCACCGTAACGAGCCTTGAAGACAGGCAGAGAACCTGGCGGCCGCTTCACCCTGAAAATCCACATGCCACTGACGATGTTCGCCCCAGGAGGAGGAACCTCGTCGACGTAAGTGCAAGTGGACTCCCATGATGCCATCTCTGCGTCCATGGCTGACTGCCACTGAGAGGAGTAATCACCCGCGATCGCCTCAGCGTAAGAGCGCGGGGTCAGGATGTCTGGAGCATCCGGGTCTCCCTCAGGGGCAAGCAGCATGGACACGAGATGAGGCGCAGCGGCTGCAAGACACTCAAGGTCCTCCTGTCTGTCCTCAAGGACGTCCGTGCCTAGAGCACACTCACCCCCGACGGACAGAGGACAGACAGACTCAGACTCAGCAACAAGAGTCGCGGCGTAGTCTAGACGACAGCGAGCAGCAAAGTCGAGAAGCTCAACAACTAGGGCAGACGCAGCAGCAAACTCAAAGGAAGGGTCAGTGACAGTCGTGGCCAAGAGACGCGTGACAGTAGGACTAGCAGCATGAAGAGAGTCAGACTCCGGGTCAGCAAGGGCAGGAAGAGAGGACGCAGGAGGAAAAGGCAGAGGGACTCGTTGTGGAGCAGTGGAAAGATGAAGCGTCATCTAGTGAGTGCCTGGGACAGCAGGAGGATGCTGACGCGGGACACTACGACCCGTGCGAGCAGCACAAACAGGTGACGCAGAAGGAGACTCAAGCGACACAGGACGAGACTCCGGCTCACGACGCTCCGTAAAACCTCCTGACGGACCAGTGTAGGGAGAAGGACTAGGAAGTGGCAAGGCTGGCTGTAACTGTGCCTGCGACTGGACAGGTGGAAGACACTCTAAGGAGGGAGCAGGACAAGGAGGAGTAGGCTGACCAAGAACCTGCTGAAGGAGCGGAACGAAGTACGGCCGCGGTGGTGAAGCGCCCTCAGAACCAGCAGAGACCGCACCAGAACCTTCAGTAGCAGCTCCAACTCCAGCAGTGCTACCAGCTGCTCCAGTAGTGCCAACGCCAGTACCCCAAGTAGCGCCAGCTCCAGCCGCACCGTCGGCTCCAGCACCTGCAGGACCAACCCCAGGGTCGTCAGCGACACCAACTCCAGTAGGCCCGGTGTCCTCAGCTCCACCAGCAGGTCCAGCAGCTTCAGTACCTACAGCTCCAACTCCAGCACCAGCAGCACCTCCAGTAGCACCAGCTCCACTAGAACCCCCAGTCCCAGCAGCTCTAGTACCGCCTGTACGAGCACCTCCAGGACCAGAGGCTCCTGTACCTCCAGCAGCACCAGAGCCTCCAGCGTGCGGCACCCCAGTGCCAGGAGCGCCGCTCCGGAGGCTGCAGCGCCGAGCGTACCAGTCACGCAGTCGCTCTGGGGAGGGAGGCGACAGCTGCGACCCAGCACTCGCAACACCACCAGCTCCAACTCCGGCAGAACCCCCAGCTCCAGCAGCCCCACGCCGGAGGCTGTAATGCTGAGAGTACCACTCACGCAGCTGCTGTGAAGAGGGAGCATCACCAGGCACAGTACGATCAGTCTCAGCTCCCCCAGGCTCAGCACCCCCAGGCTCAACACCCCCAGGCTCAGCACCCCCAGGCTCAGCACCCCTAGTCTCAGCACCCTCAGTCTCAGTACCCCCAGGCTCAGCACCCCCAGTCTCAGTACCCCTCGCAGGATCAGAGTTGACAACTACCTCGACAGGCTCGACAAGGTCTACCTGGGAAACACCTGAGGGAGCAGCACCCTGGGAGGGGGGGGGTCTACCGAAGCAGCACCTGGCGTGAGGAAGAGCGTCGGGGGGGGGGGGGGGGGGAGCGGCGCAGTGCGGTAGGGGAACAGACGGTAAAAGGGTACCGACTCGTCAAACGTGACGTCTTGAGAGGGGAAGACACAGCGCGCAGTGGGGTGGTAAAACTGCTAGCCAGGCACGTCAGGGACAAAGCCAAGAAAGACACAGGGAACGGCACGGGAGGAGAGCTTGTCCGCTGACGTATCGCGAACTAAGGTTCGACATCCCCAGACTCGGAACACCGACGCATCGCCAACCTTCCCCGTCCAACGCAGTGTGGGCGAGGTCTCCGGAGCAGAGACCCGGGGCCAGAGGTTGAGCTGATGCGCAGCGTACTGCACCGCAAACGGCCACAGGAAATGGGGGGCGGCCGCATGGATCATAGAGGTACGAGCGACCTCCATGACTAAGCCAATGCGGTGCTCAGCAATCCCATTCTGCTGTGGAGAGGCCGGCAGTGTGAACGTTTGACGGATGCCGTGCTCCGCACAGTAGGCTGCCAAGAGGCCGTAGGAGAAGTCACCACCCCTGTCAGAGTGCAGACGAACGACTGGAAAGTCCGACTGGAACCGGTCGCGGAGCTGGAGACGAGCAGCGCGGATCCAAGGGATCAAAACATCAGGAACCTCACCCTTGGTGCGCAAGGGGAAGACCGTGGTGTAGCGCGTGTAGTCGTCGACGACCAGCAGGAAGTACCGCTCGTGGCCCTGTCCACGGACGCGGGCTGGGCCCCACACGTCCAGGTGGAGAGTCTGCAGAGGAGCCTTTTATGGGAGTGAACGAGGAGGAGTGAGGAGTGGCGCGCTGCCGCCCCTCGACACAGGGAAGACAGGGAGGAGCAGGCGAGGGTGGGAGAGGAGGGAGAACCCTAGGAAGACCAGAGACAAGGTATTGAGAGTGCATGCCACGAAGGCGCTGCACTGAAGGATGACCAAGGCGGTGGTGCCCGAGGACAATCTGGTGCGACAGGGTGCGACACGAGCAGGGGGCCGACATCTGAACTGACGCAGGCGCAGACGCAGCTACCTGAGGGGACTTAGTGGTCAGTGTGTACAGGTCCGACCCCGGCTGCCGAGTAAAGGTAGCCAGGTGGCGACCCGTCCGTGCACACGTACAGTGGGTCACACGCTCATAGGCAGGGGTGAACTGGTGAACACCCGCGTCCTGGAGAGAAGAGCCCGCCACCAAGTTCGTAGAGAACGAGGGAAGGTAAAGACCCGACAGGGTGCCGGCCGAAACCGCCAGACAAGGGAGGACAATGGAGGAGGTCGCAAGGACTGGGCCCCCAGAGGGGTCAGCGAGAGAGACAGCAACAGGTCAAGCTAGCTGCTCAAGGACAGTGCGGTTACGAAAGACGCAGCGGGAAGCACCCGAGTCCAGTGTGAAGGTGTGCAGTGCCTCAGTAGACGCAGTACCAGCAGGCGCAGACTCACAAGCACCTGGAGCAGCAGACTCACTGGCACCTAGAGCAGCAGCCTCACCAGGGCCTGGGGCAGCAGACGCACTAGCACCTAGAGCGGCAGTCTCATTGGTCCCAATACCCGGGTCGGGCTGTACACTCAGGTAGCAGTCACCCTCAACACTAATAGTCAATACATAAATAGCACCAAGGATAGCATCATAATCAAAAGCAAAGATATCAATTCCCTTCTTAAGCAGGTCAGCCCAGCGGGGCAGCTCAGAGGCGTCAGAGTATTGCTCACGCCAGGCGTCGTCGAGACGAAAGAAGCAGCGCTGCGCCGTGTGAAACCTCCCACAGGTCTGGCCAGTGCGGTCACCTATGCGGATGACGTACAGGCAGGTACCTCCACCCCCACACCCCCCACGCTGAGAGTACCACTCACGGAGCTGCTGGGGCGACGGGGTCTCGCTGGGACGCTGCTGCTGCTGCCTCTGGCCACCGCCGAACCCCCCACGCTGCACCGCTCTACTGTGTCCACCACCAGCTCCACTGCCGCCACCACTGCCACCACCACCCCCGCCACCCCCACCACCGCCGCCTCCACCACCCCCGGCTCCGCTACTGACCCCCCCACCACTAGCACCACTCCCACCACCGCCACCACCCCCGCCCCCTCCACGACCGCTGCCCCCGCCGCCACCTCCGCCACCCCTGCCCCCCTTGCCCCTACCGCCCTTGCGCCTCCCACTAGGAGCAGACGCAGCCCCAACTCCCTCAGCACCGAGGTAGTCGACAGCAGCAGCAGATGCTATGGAGGGGAGGAGAGGGACGGGGGAGCACCCCTCAAAGAAGGGGGCACGAGGGTCGCCACGAGAGGCACCTACAGCTACAATTCTCTTCTCAGCTGCTAGGAGTTCCTTCTCGAGCAGGTCGACAGTGAGGTCGGTAGGGGAGAGGGCGAGAAAGTGGTCCCTGACAGTGCGAAGGGAGTCAGGGAGGCGGGTGACAAGGTGATAGAGTGTGAGGTACATCGGGGGAGGGTTCTTGGCTAGGAAATCGGGTGGAAGTGCGGCACGGTAGCGAAGATCACCGGTACGGAGGTGCGTCATGAGGTCAGCTACAGTGGCAAAGGCAGACAGATCGGGGAAGAGATAGGGCAGTGAGAGACGGCCTATCGCAGCAGTAGCAGGGGAGGAGTAGCGTGCAACTACATCGTCGTACAGCTGCTTAGCGGTCTTATGCTGGCCAAAGTGTTCGCGCTCATCTAGCGGTAGGTGGCTGCGAACGGCTAGGCGAGCATGAGCGTCACGCGTCTGCCACTGTGATCGAGTAGTGCTGTCAGCAGTAGCAGCAGGTGTGGGAGCGGCGCTGGACGTGTGGTCAAAAAGGGAAACATCGTCCTTGGCAGTGATCTGGAGGAACAGGTGCAGGTCATCGAGCCAAACGTCAATCTTAATCGAACGGCCCTCAGAGTCAAAGGTGAGAACTGTAGGACTAGCCATAGTGACAGTACCAGCAGTAGCAGTAGCAGTGGTAGCAGTAGCAGCAGTAGCAGTAAGAGCAGTAGCAGTAGCCGCTGTAGTAGTAGGAACAGGAACAGCAGGTGCTGCAGGTGGTGCACAGTAGGGCGGCACGGCTCGGTCAGGGCGGCGCGGCGTGGCTCGGACTAGGCTACGCGGCGCGGCGCGACGGTGGGCCTGCGCGTGAGCGGTTGTAGCGTACGGGCCGCGGCTGTGCGTAGGCTGCAATCGCGCGCGGGCAGCGGCCTACATAGGCTACGCGGCGGCCTACGGGCGGGGCTGCGGCGCGTTGGACGGCCAGTAGGGCCGGTCGACGGGCGGCTAGCGGGCTGCTCGTGGGCGGCGCTGGTCGTGCTGGCGGCTAACAAGCGACGCGCGCGCGACTCGGGCCGCGCGCGGTCAGCTAGCGGGCTACGCGCGCTAAAAAAAAAGGTCGCGCGCGGGGCTTAGCGAGCTGCGCACGGGCAGCAGGAGAGAGAGAGAGAGGCGCACGAGGGCGCACTAACAGAGAGGCGCACGAGGGGGCTAAGGCGATAGGGTGCTTGAGGGCGCTCCTAGCGGAACAGTGGGCCCTTAGGTAGGTGGTCCTAGGTTCCTAACCTAGGCTCGTAATACCATGTCAAAATGAGAGAAGTGGTTGGACTAGCAAGATTGGGAGTACAAGTAGGAAAACTCTAGAATGTTGTACCCCCTAAGGCTAAGCCCACTATAGCCTACAGAACAGTAACATATACAATGTTTGATACACTCTGGCCTCTTCGGATGTTCAGCGCCCATTGTTAAGATACGAGCTTGGTAGGTAATAGGACGGCCTAGGCTTAGTAGCCTAGGCCAACGAGTTCGAGAAGATCGTGCCAAGGGTAAGTTGGGAAAGAGCGGTTTCACTATAGGTTTCAAAGAACATATAGCATAGGAAACAATGAAGGTGCACCACCAAACTAGGTTTATAATAACTACACTAACTACAGCTACAGGCAGTTACAAATATAAATAATATAAAGTGTGACACCCATAACGCCATCATTGTTAACGCATGCCGAACACTCAACCCCGTTATTCCGAAGTTACAAAGCTAGTGCATTTTGGCTTCGTCGTTATTTCGACCCGGCGTTTTTCGAGGCCCGTTAAAAAGGCCATAACGCCCATAACGTCAGCCGAACAGGGCCTTCGTCTACGAGGAATCACGAATTTCGTTTTCGGACGCTGCCTCACACGAATCAACTACGAGCCATGGATTGGCTTTGTTCGGCCGGCGCATCAGCGCGGATGGGCTACGGTGGATGAATGATGCAGACATTGGCGCTGTTCTGCAGGCGTTAAATTGCCAGAAACTGGGTCTGCAGAATCTTCCCCGATAAGCGCGCTTCTGCCTATCAAGGTTTGGTAATAAGCACGGTCCTGCCAAACCTTTTTGCGCCAAAATTAACGCTTTAGCCTGCAGAACGCCACTTTTGGGGCACACAAATTTAACGGGGTGAAGGCTCCACGGTGTTGCATCTCCAGGCAAATGTCCGCACAACTTGTGCATTGCCTATTCGGCCTCGAGAGCTAGCATCAGCCAACGCACAAGTTATTCAGGGCAGCAATTTGTGAGATTCGAGAGTTTGAGCGAGCTTCATGGCAACACCCCCAGCAAATTGAGAAATTAGGCAATTGGTGCGGCCAGAAGCTACAAGGAAGGACAAATTCCGTACATTTAATGCGGAGGCAATAACGCCTACAGAACAGCGCCATTGAGAAATCGCGGAAGCCCATCAGCGCGTTCAAGACACCTTCGTTCCAGGAATTTTGAGGGCGAGCGCCAGTTATGCGCGCATGATGCACCCTCGAGAGGGCGCACCATGCGCGCATCAGTGATGCGCAAAATTGCTAGAAGAAGGATTTTCCAGGAAAGCAACGACATGTAAAATCTCGTGGGCCAAAGATGCTGTTCGGCAGTCATCTGCTGACATTGAGCTTCGGCAGCCGTGCGCTTATCTCGAGCCTTGATAGCCTGTCAACAAGTTATCAAGAAGGTTCTAGGGTGGTCACTTTGTGCGGAATCACCTTTCTCAAGCTGTGATTCGGTATCCTCCTTATTGGTTTCATCCACTACAGTATTCCTTGACAGCAGCGAGCTTTGACAAATATGTTTGTGGCCGAACCGAACAGAGAAAATGACGTGCAACCACGTCATCGAGATTCCCGAATCGACGGTGACCACAATCACCCTCATCAGCCGTGGCTGGGATGCCGCCATGCTGGCCCCCCTGGGAGCATTTTCGGAGGAAGGCGATGAGGCGGATTCATCAGCAAGTGCCCCGCTATGTCGAAATTTTCCTAGTCCTTTCGCCTCTTACGGCCTTGAAAACTGTACAGTAATCGAATCATAACAAAATAGCTCCTATACCCACACGGCTTTCCTCATTACCCTCCCGTCACCCTCACGACACGGCAAACGGCCTTACCTTTTCCGTCTGCCTCAACTTTCCCATACGAAAGACGGCGGAGTATGCCCCTCTCGCTAAAAAAAGGTTCGCCACGCAAGCCTGCTACAGCAGCTATGTTTGAGAGTAAGTCATGCGCACGCGACATGCCCCTTGTCAACGCAGCGCTACTTAGAACCGTAAGAACACGAGATCAGTGTAAACACCAGACCCGAACCGTCGCTTCAGCTCGTTATCCTGATACACAAAGATCAGCCTCGTCACTTCCAGAAGCATTACTTTCAACTCAACAGTCGGTTTAGTCTCCTTTGCACAGCAGAATTTTACCCAGCAGCATGCTGAAGCTAATTCGACCGTTAGACGACTTTCACTCAGAATATGAAGTTAAAGAGAAGCTGGGAACCGGCAAGTTCGGAACCGTGTGGCGATGTCAGGAGCGACAAGGCAATAACGAGTTCGCGTGTAAACAGGCCGTCGGCAGAGGGGGCGTGGATTCCGCCTTACGAGAAATCGGCGCGCTTTCGACTCTTCAAGGCTGTCCCAACGTGGTTGCCATCCAAAAGTTGTTCCACGACCCTCAGACCGAAACCCTAATCTTGCTCTCCGAACTCGCGACAGGCGGCGATCTGGTAACACACATCAATGCGAAAGGACGGCTGCCTGAGTGGGAGGCGCGGTCGATTTTCCGCGACGTGGTGTGCGGCGTGAAGCAGTGTCACCAGAGCGGGTTGATGCATCGCGATATCAAGCCGGAAAATATTATGCTGTTTGAGAACAGGTCGACGCTGACGTCAGGCGACGATGCGAAGTGCGACAGGAGCAACAAGAAGATTGGCTTTAATGGAGAAGTCATATCAAGCGAAGACGTGACAGCCTCATCGTTATCTCGAGAAAGAGACTCCGGGCTTCACGACGCCGCGCAGCCTTTCGTGGCCTTCACAGCTAAGCTGTCCGATTTCGGCGCATCGACGGTTCTAAAGCCGGGACAGAAAATGCATGCGTGCGTCGGCAGCCTTCCCTACATCGCTCCCGAGGTCCTCGCGAGAGATCTATACGACTTCTCCGCGGACATTTGGAGCCTTGGGGTTACCCTATATTCCATGCTGGCCGGCGAATGGCCGACAATTATTCGCGGACAACAGTCGCGTGAGGATTGGTTGCTCCCATGTTGGTCCGAAATCTCAGGCTCGGCGAAAAACCTCATCCGTTCGATGCTGTTTGTGGATCCTGGATCTCGTCCCACAGTCGATGCGGTATTAAATCATCCGTGGGTGAAGGGTGTCAGCCAGCCAAGCACATTGATTTTACCGAACGACGATGAATGTAAATCTCCGCCGCGAAGCTCTTGGCCTCGGGTTACCTCACCCATGCCGTCGCCTCTCGCGACGATTCACACCTCGACGCGAATAGCCGCTCAGACATGCCGAAACATCGCGCGGCGCATGCTACCGAAGCGGCGCAATTCCAAGACTAATCTGCTCGCGGATCTCACTTACGTCGATTAGATTATTAATACTCGCAGAAGATAGAGCATCTAAATTGCCCTGACAAAGCAAAGCAACAGCGGGAAGAGGAGGAATCAACCCGGGGCGTATTCAAGAACTCTTGCTTCGAGCACAGTGTCCCAACCTCTGAAGTTGCACTCAGTAAAAGTCAATTGTGAATGTCTACATACGTGCCTCGGCCACGAGGATGCAGCAGCGAGGAAAAGGGCAGCTCGCCAGGTGGCAGAAAATGACTAAACAGAAACGTACTCTTCTGGTTCGGATCAGGGTGGTGGATGGCAAAGGATGGAAATGGTCCAACAGTTTTGCGGCACTTAGGGGCAAACCTCGCAGGCCCCGGATCCATGTCTGAGGATCAGATATTCCTGGAGCGAGTCCTCTCGTTTCCCTTGCACAGTTACGACTGTTATGCGTTGTACACTTGTTCACTCTAGTGTATGATTCATTAAGCCAAAAAAAAAGGTAAAAGTCAATTGTTACAAAACTACAGAGGTACAGTTGCTTCTTGCAATGTCACTCCTACCATATTTCTAGATAATCTCACAGGCTATACTAAACACGTCATCAACCCAAACATTTAGAACAAGTACCACGCTAGAATCTTGTCATAACCCTGATTATTCCAATTCTCTCCCCTGCATTCTTGAGAATGGTTGGGCTGATATACACACGGATCTTGGTGTCACAGGTCTAGAAGACAAGTTTTTCAAATGAACAAGACTTCAAATATACGAATCAGGTGCTTGGCCGGGCAGAAAATATTTGTCTCTGACCTCCTCAGCTTTGCAGAACACAACCTGCGAATAGAAGTGGGAAGACAGGTCAATAGACCAGTTTCGTGCCCCATCGATATGAGCATATAACCAGGCAACTACGAGTTCAGTTTGGAATGTCTGAACTGAACTGAATATCCAGAAGGCACCACGGCCACGACACAGAAGGTTGGCGTACGAGTAGAGCAGATTCGTCATGACCTAGCTGGCTTATACGGGGGGCTTTAAAGCCAGCAACGCGCAGCAGCACTCACCAGGTTGGCATACGACTTGAGCAATGGCTTCATGACCAGCTGGCTCATAATGGGGGCTTTAAAGTCAGCATCTGCTCTGCACTCACCAGGTTGGCGTACGACTTGAGCAGCGGCTTCATGACCTTCCACCCCGGCTGGAAGATGAAGGGCGCGTCCACAAAGAGCACCTGGGGTGGTGGGAAGTGGTGGGAAGCGGTGTGGGGCGCAGGGCGGGCAGGGAGAGGAATGGAAGATGAACACCTGGGAGATGAAGATGAAGGGCGCGTCCACAAAGAGCACCTGGGGTGGTGGAGGGTCGGATGGGAGCAACAAGTGAGAGGAGAGTTAAAGCCCCTAAGAGTTGAAGAAAGTCTACCCTGGGTGGACGATGAAGGGCGCGTCCACAAAGAGCACCTGGGGTGAGAAGCAAGATGTGTAAGAGAGTGAGAGAAGCAGGATGCGTAAGAGAGTGAGAGAAGCAGGATGCGTAAGAGAGTGAGAGAAGCAGGATGCGTAAGAGAGTGAGAGAAGCAGGATGCGTAAGAGAGTGAGAGAAGCAGGATGCGTAAGAGAGTGAGAGAAGCAGGATGCGTAAGAGAGTGAGAGAAGCAGGATGCGTAAGAGAGTGAGAGAAGCAGGATGCGTAAGAGAGTGAGAGAAGCAGGATGCGTAAGAGAGTGAGAGAAGCAGGATGCGTAAGAGAGAGATAAGCAGGATGGGTGGGGAGAGAAATGTGAAGCTGAACAGTGTACTCACGAAGGCATGGAGCACAGACACAGGAGGTGTGGGAAGCAAGAGTGTGGGGAGCGAGAGAGGTGGGGAGCAAGAATGTGGGGAGTAAGAGTGTGGGAATCAAGATAGGTGAGGGGCAAGAGAGGTGGGGGGCAAGAGAGGTGGGGAGAAAGAGAGGTGGGGAGCAAGAGTGTGGGGAGCAAGAGAGGTGGGGAGCAACAATGTGGGGAGTAAGAGTGTGGGAATCAAGAGAGGTGGGGAGCAAGAGAGGTGGGGAGCAAGAGAGGTGGGGATCAAGAGAGGTAGGGAGCAAGAGAGGTGGGGAGCAAGAGAGGTGGGGAGCAAGAGAGGTGGGGAGCAAGAGAGGTGGGGAGCAAGATAGGTGGAGAGCAAGAGAGGTGGGGAACAACACTGGCATCCTATTACCTCAGAATCTCTCATTGTCTTCCCACTCTCTTGCATTCTCTTCCGTTCTCTTACATTCCCTTCCACTCTACCTACTGGGACCATTAACAAGAAAAGAAAAGAAAAGAGAGAGAGATCATGAAGTCATGCTTGCCATACCTGGTGCAATCTAGTTTTGAGGCGCCTGAAAACTAGACCTCTTACATTCACTTCCATTCCACTTACAGGGACCATTAAAATAAATGAGGAAGCATGAAGTTCTGCTTGCCATACCTGGTGCAAGTTTTGAGGCGCCTCAAAACTAGACCTCTTACATTCACTTCCATTCTACCTACAGGGACCATTCAAATAAATGAGGAAGCATGAAGTTCTGCTTGCCATACCTGGTGCAATCTCTTGGGATAGTAGTTGAAGAACACGTCAATCTGTAGGAGGAAATTCAGGGAAGCACGGGGTTGAAACGGATACAAGGAGACATTCTTTTAAGACTAACAATGTTTTTGGATTAGTAGTTGAATGAAACGTCAACCTGTGAGCGGCGGTGATAGTGGGAAGAAAGAAGGAGAAGCGGGAAAGTCTGAGACGCTTAAGTGAGAAGTGAGGAGAGAAGGTGAAACAAGCATGAACTTAATGAAAGCAAGGTCAAATATCCCCATGGCATGCATCCCATACATTTCCCCCCAAAAAGCATCTCCTTCCCTCCGCACCTTTCCCTTCGCCACCCCCTCTCCTCTTCTAGATACATGCACGCCAGCTCACCATGAACTTGACAAACGCCAGGTCGGTGTTCTTAGCAGTGAAGCCCGCAGGTCAAAGTTCCCGCCGAACTGCTCCTCCCCCTCCGGCAGTCACTTTCGAGTCAACTCAGAAGTCCCCTTCCCCACATGCAATTGCACACCAACTCACCATGAATTTCACGAAAGCCAGGTCGGTGTTCTTAGCAGTGAAACCTCTCAGGTCGAATATCCCTCGGAACTGCACCTCCCCCTCCGGCAGTCGCTCTATGGCTCTTTCAATGAGGTACGCGCAAAGCTGCTGGCTGTACACCAGGCGGGATGACTGGTGGCGGGTGGGAGAGGGAGGAGGTGGATGGGAGGGGGAGGGGCAGCAATGAAAGCGCGTAGCAGCCGCTCTATGGCTCTTTCAATGAGGTACGCGCACAGCTGCTGGCTGTACGTTGAGGCGAAGAGCCATAGTGCGACGGCTGTATTGCAGTCGCTCGATGGCTCTTTTGATGGGATATGCGCACAGCAGCTAGATGTAGACCAGGCGGGATGACTGGCGAGCGAGGAGGGGTGAAGGTGGGAGAGGGGAGTAGGTGGGTGGGAAGAGGAGGGGAAACAATGAAAGAGCTTGGAAGGCAACAATGAACAGAGACCACAACAACGTTGTCACAACAATGAACAGAGACCACAACAACGTTGTCACAACAATGAACAGAGACGACATGGTCACTTACGTCGGGGAAGTGTTTTTTGAGGCGCCTCAAAAACAATGAAAGAGATTAGAAGGCAGCAATGAACAGAGACCACAATCAAGAGCTGAAACCAGAAAGTCACTTACGTCGGGGAAGTGTTTCGCTGCCACGACAACGATCACGGGCCGCCCGTCCACGTCAGCGTACTCGTGGAGGAAAGCCTTCCCCGTGGCCCCCTCCTCTGCCACGTCAGCAGCTGTCAGCCCCGCCACTCCAAACTCGTGGCGCCATTTCTGATAAGGGGATGAGGGTCCAGGCAAAGGCGTGTATGGGCGGGACAAGGGTGCAGTACAAACAAAGGGGAGGAAAGGGGTGTTGGCGAGGGAAGGACAAGCCATTTACAGGGGGCAGTTCCAAGGGTCTTTACAGGGGTATTTACTTTTGAGAAGTTCCAAAACAGATTACAAACACAAGGGGCAGGACCACAAAGGGGCGAGGGAAGGGGTGTTGGCAAGGGGAAGGGCGAGTCAAGAGGTCAATTTCGTGTTTATTCGAGCTAATATACGATTGAATCCGTGGTGCCATTCCCACAACGCTCTGTACCGCACACAACCCACCCAATCTGCCACTCAAAATAGCTTTGACGAGTTTCTCACACCGTGGGTTCCACCTTGTACTTGCGGCTCTTGAGGAACCACCTGGCTGGTGGCTACTGCTGCTGTAACGCACTGTACCGCACTCCACCACTTACAATTGCCTTCACAAGCTTCTCCACCATGGGTTCCACCTTGTACTTGCGATCCTTGAGGAACCACCTCAGCATGGCCTGGTTGGTGGGTTTGTGGCTGCTGCTGCTGCTGCTGCTGCTGCTGCTGCTGCTGCATCGAGAGTAAACAGCAACACTCTGCCAGGACGCATTGCACCGCACACAACCCACCCACTCACAATAGCTTTGACGAGTTTCTCCCCTGTCGGTTCGACCTTGTACTTGCGATCCTTGAGGAACCACCTCAGCATGACCTGATGGTGCTGCTGCTGCTGCAACGAGAGTAAACAGCAACACTCCCCAGCAACGCACTGCACCACTCACAATAGCCTTCACAAGCTTCTCCACCGTGGGCTCCACCTTGTACTTGCGGTCCTTGAGGAACCACCTCAACATGGCGCTGCTGCTGCTGCTGCTGCTGCAACGCACTGTACCGCACTGCACCACTTACAATAGCCTTTACAAGCTTCTCCACCGTCGGTTCGACCTTGTACTTGCGGTCCTTGAGAAACCACCTCAGCATTGCCTCGTCGTCCCACCCCACCCATACTCACCCATAATCGCACTGCACCGCACAGAACCCACCCCCGCCACTCACAATAGCCTTCACAAGCTTCTCCACCGTGGGTTCCACCTTGTACTTGCGATCCTTGAGGAACCACCTCAGCATGGCCTCGTCGTCCCGCCCATACTCGCCCACGGGCAGGGACGCATGGTCGCGAGCCAAGATGCTCTTCACCTCGTCCACAAGCTGGAGTGAGGGGGGTTAGGTTGGAGAAAAGGGAGAGAATAGGCATGCTGTCGCCATCTCCCCATACTCGCCCACCGGGAGGGACGCATGGTTGCGCGCCAAGATGCTCTTCACCTCGTCTACCAGCTGATGGTGAATTGGGGAAGAGAGGGGATAGGAAAAGGATGGGTGCATGCAGGAACCACCTCAGCATGGCCTCGTCGTCCCTCCCATACTTGCCCACGGGGAGGGATGCATGGTCGCGCGAGCCAAGATGCTCTTTACCTCGTCCAAGAGCGGGAGTGAGGGGGACGAGGGGGTGGGGGGAAGGAGGAGGAGAGGAGAGGCTATGCGTGCAGTCGTTGCCCCTCCCATACTCGCCCTCATTTTGAGACGTCTCAAAATAAATCTTCATACAAGAGAAACAGGCTATGCATGCAGTCGTTGCCCCTCCCATACTCGCCCTCATTTTGAGACGTCTCAAAATAAATCTTCATACAAGAGAAAGAGGCTATGCATGCAGTCGTTGCGCCTCCCATACTCGCCCTCATTTTGAGACGTCTCAAAATAAATATTCATACAAGAGAAAGAGGCTATGCATGCAGTCGTTGCCCCTCCCATACTCGCCCTCATTTTGAGACGTCTCAAAATAAATCTTCATACAAGAGAACGAGTCTATGCATGCAGTCGTTGCCCCTCCCATACTCGCCCTCATTTTGAGACGTCTCAAAATAAATCTTCATACAAGAGAAAGAGTCTATGCATGCAGTCGTTGCCCCTCCCATACTCGCCCTCATTATGAGACGTCTCAAAATAAATCTTCATACAAGAGAAAGAGTCTATGCATGCAGTCGTTGCCCCTCCCATCAAGGTGCAAAAAAACGACGTTTTTTTCAATTTTTGATCGTAAAATACCGTATCGTAAGAAACGATCGTAAAAAACGATAAAAAACGGTTTTGAAAATAAATACTTCTGGTGCAAAAAAACCTTCGTTTTTTTCAGTAAAAATACCAAAACTGCTGCTGAAACAAGGGGATTGATTGGTGAGAAGAACAAGGGGGCCGTTAGAAGTGCTGATGATGCAGCGGAAGATTGTTAGAAGTGCTTTTGTGATCAGAACAGCATCTTTGAAGTTGAAGAGTTTTTTTTGTCTAACAAAAAAACGAAGTTTTTTTCCCAAAAGGTACCGTAAAATACCATCGAAAAAAACAATCGTATTTTTCGACAATTGTTTTTTTCTACCTTGCCTCCCATACTCGCCCTCATTTTGAGACGTCTCGAAATAAATCTTCATACAAGAGAAAGAGTCTATGCATGCAGTCGTTGCCCCTCCCATATACGCCCTCAGGGAGGGACGCATGGTTGCGAGCAACAAGGCCTTTAACTCATCCACGAGGGGGAGTGAGGGGTGTAGATGGGAAAGGAGAGGGCGGGGGGTAAGACACGGGCAAGGAAGGGCTTTCATTTCCTCCTGGCCCGTGGTTCAGGGGAGATTTCATTTCCATCCACACGTCTCGAAAAGCGTGGGACAGGGGGGATCCTGAAACGTCTCAAAAAGCGGGGGTCGGGGGGAAAGGGGGGAGAGAATCGAGGTGGGGCAAGGATGAGAAGGGGGGGGAGCTCAGCATACAGTCTCAGAAGGGAAAAGGGTGGCCTTGACCCTCATGCATAGAGGTCACATGCATTTATTATTACCTGAATCCACTCCTGCTTACCTTCATCAAGTACCACCTGAAGCATCACCTGAAAGATCACCTGAAGAATCACCTAAAAACCACCTGAAATGACACCTCTTTCCACTCACCGCAGCGATCTCCTCCTCCCGCCGCTCCACCCATCCGCTGCTGCCGCTTGTCGTCACGCCGTTCGTCCCCGTTGTCGTGGTCCCCCCATCCGCTCGCACGCACACTCCCCTTCTTCTTCTCAGGCTCAGTGGCCTTATGTGATTCTCTAGTCCTCCCCTCGAACAACTCCCCCTCCTGTCTCTTCGAAAACTGAGAGCGGTTGTGAAAGATGCAGGGGCGATTCGAGTGCTGCTGGACGCTGACGTCACGCTGACGTGCTGCCATGTGGCAGCAGCAGGAAGGAGGGCTGCTCTGGTGTTGGCCACTGCAGCGGATCCTGGGAACGCCATGTCAGCCAGTCACGCTGCGCCGCGTGGCAAGAGGAGGAAATGTATGGACGACACGCATTGGAGCATGAGTGATTGACGAGCAAATCTGGAACGATGCATATTGAATGACTGGTCTGGTAAGTGATTTATCATGTCTGATTCGTGTTTGTTCGTACGTACGAAAGGTTCTTAGCGAGTGAATTGAATCAAGGAGTGTGCGGTGTAGGTGAATGGGAAGAGAAACAGAATGGAGAAGAAACAAGACGACTCGTTGTAGTCACACTTAAGCGAGCGAGCAAGTACGTGCAGAACCCGCCGCAGCCTCGATTTCCCGCTAAGAAAGGGAGGATCTCGAGATTTTTGCAAGCAAGACGGCCGACAGAAGTGAGGGGGTTACTCTCGCGACGTCAATAATTCTCCAGAGGACCACGAACGTAAGCTCACGGACTAAGACACACGTCGCATTCTAGCGACGGATTCTGGAAATGAAACTGCTTATAAAAGGAAGGGTACTCTCGCGACGTCAGTAAATCCCAAGAGTACCACGGTGGGATCACGGATCAAGACGCACGGCGCCAACGGCATTTTAGCGACGATTTCTGGTTAGCGAACCAGCCAAAGCGGTAATGTATCTCGCAACAGAAGCCACGCGGCAGCGACGGAGGCAACAAGGAGTCAGTGAAATTGCGATGCCCTAGTGTTTTTTGAGAGAGTGCATCGATATCGCTTCTTCATTTGCGTTGACACCTAAACTCGTGGCGCGCAGCAAGGCAGCGGTAGCATTGATCGTGGTAAATTCTAGCCGCTGACAGCGGAATCTACTCACCTAGTGCAACGGAGTGAGGTTGATTGGAACACAAAACGGTATTCCTCCTCAACGCGTGGCGACGATATTCCCTGAAGTGTCACAACATTCCCAAGGCGTTCAGAAGACTGACGCAACTCGAGAGCGAGAAGAAAGCGAAGCAAAGCAGAACTGAAAATGGCGGGAGGTGTGGAACGTGTGCCTATTGGAGGGAAGAGTGGATAAGAGTGATTGTATGAGGATTGTGACTCTATGAGAAACTTGACGAGTGAGCTGAGGAGTGTGTCGCTTCAATCCAGATTCTCTGTTCTGATTCTGTGGAAGATTCTTCACCAGAGGCAAAAGGCGACCATCCTCAGCGAGCCAAGAGCTGGTAACATGTGCGGGCGACATCCAGTCGCACGCGAAAAGCATCAAATTCCATTTATACGCGCTAAGCTAGACTCCGTAACAGATTTCCCAAACAATGCTTCAAAATCAACAACAGAGCACAACCACTTACCAAGTTGGCTCGCGCGTTGAGTCGTCAGGTGATTCCACATGTGGAGTCCGTGCTCAGCTCCTCCACCAACTGCAGCTCAGGGTGTGACCCAAATTGCTCCCCACGTTCCCAAGCCAAGGTTTTCTGCCGAGGCTCGTTTCCGAGTCGAGCCAGCTGTGAGGTGGTGTGGCCAAACCAGAAAACGTGCTGCTCACCTCACACACCACCAACGCGACTTCACGCGGGATGCGGTTCGGGCTCATGGCACCAGCCACAGCAATCGAAGATTGCTTTTCCTCCCTAGACAGATGTTTTTAGTAGAGCCCACTCCTTGCACTTGAAATCAGCTCAAAGCTTGACAAATTCGAAATAACGACATTACCGATTGCTTTTCCAATGCAATACCTTTTCGGGGGAGGGATTTCATTTCGTGCTGGAGGGGAAATGCCTGTGCACCGTCCAGCCCTACACACTCAAGTTCGTTGTGCCTGGGCTTCCCTCCTAGTCGAAAGACAGTGTCGTTTTCGGCATGTCGGTCGACGCTGATTGCTGCTGCAGCAATGTCGATTCAAGGGCATTTTTCCTTAATGCCCTGAACATTCTGGGTTATGTTCGGCGCAGCTCGACCATTTTAAGGGTTCGATTTGACTGGCACCCGTGCCAGTTAAGGGCATCGTTTGGCCCTTCCCTGGACGCGTTAAGTGCTCAATCTGGGCCATCCCCTGAATCTAATTTCTAGTTTCGATTCCGCAGATCCCCCCCCCCAAAATCTTGCGAAACATCCCCCTCCCCTTACCCCCCCTTTCCATGAAAGTTGCACAATAGGGCGCCAGGTGGAGGATGTTTCACTCGATTTCTATCCAATCTAGTGTGTGTAGTGTCGAAGTCAGCAGATGAGTAGAAATGCAGTAGGCAGTGCAGCTATAGTTGTAGTTGGAAATTGTGACATACAGGTTGACTGGAGTAGTTAGTAATGAAAAGTATGTCATTTTCTTGTCTAGGACGCTGTTTAGGTTGGTTAAGTACACAACACTTTGGAGCCCGGATTTCAAGTTTACACTTCGGCCTGCACCCGCGACCGTTCAGGGCAAAAAATTGGTCACCTCGCTGAAAATCAGGGTCAGAATTTCAGCAGCTAAGGGCCTCAAGTTCTGCCCCCAGGGATATCGACAGCTCTGTTGCTGCACCTCAACCTCAGTGGTCTGGCTGGAAGCGCTCCTCTGAGGGGACGTGATTACACGTCACCATTCACGAACAGACAAATTACGAAGCAGATTTTGAGGTTCAGAGCTCCCAGAGCCTGGTCTTTGGTTGGTAGACATCTGGCTCGTCGTGGCTGAACGGGGAGTCACCAGCTACAGCGCCTACAGCACTGTTGCACTGCAGCCATTCCCCCCACCTTTCCCCCTCCCCGCAAACCTCTCCCCATTCCCTTTTCCTCGTCGCACTCCCTCCGCCTGTTCAATTGCTCCGCTTGCATCCTCTCCCCCCATCGCGCGTTCTGGTTGTTGGTGTATCTCAATCAACAGCGTACTCTTGTCGTGAACGATACCCGAGACAAACGTTCACAAATGTACAGAATCGTACTTCACCGTATTGATAAGAGCTCGACCCCTTGCTCCAAGGTTGTTCATATGTAATTCCTGCTCGGCTAGCTGATGCCTGGTTGATCAACAGATCGACTCTGGCTATGTCTATGTCGTCTGTTGAAATCAAGTGTTTTTGAGCAACCACCTTACGGCTTTTCCCGCAACCAGGAAGTGAACAGCATTTTCTTCGCGTACAAAGCAAATCAGATTATTGTTGCTTAGTCTCGCCTTTCACCTAAATTCGACGTTTCGCTGTTCGTAAGTGCATCATTTGGCGTCGGACCGACACGCGAATTTGTGGCGTGTCGCCTAGTTGTTGCTCCGCCTGTCGCCGAGCTGTCGCCGAGTTGTCGCGCGCGTCGCATGGCGATGGTGGATTACCTGGTGATGGGCTTCGGCCTCGCCGCGTGCGGCGGCTCGCTCTGCGGCGGCGTGCTGATCGCCTTCGACTCGCACGCGCCCGAAAAACTCAAGGTACGGACGAGCGTGTGCTGCAAGGTACGGACAAGTGTGTGCTGCAAGGTACGCCCGAAATACTCGAGGTACGAAGCTGGCGATATGAGCTTACGACAGTAGCGTAGTTGCACGGGTCCCGCTCGCCCCCGCTCTTTCCGCTCTTCCTCCTCCCCTCCGTAAACGCCCATCCTCCCCTCCGCTCTTTCTTCGCGCGCATATGGCGAAGCCAGAGCCCGTTCGCTTCCTGTTTTGAGACGCCTCAAAACTCGTTCGCTTCCTGTTATGAGACGTCTCAGATGTTGAGACGTCTCAAAACTCGTTCGCTTCCTCCCGCTCTCTTGCCGTCTCTCCCCGTTCCCTTCTCCCCTTCCCACACCCTCCCCCGCCGTCTCCGCCCTCCCCGGCTCTTCCCCATCCTCCCCCCCCGAACCGTTCCCTCCCATCCGTGCGCATTCCAGCCGTTTACGGCGGAGTTTTTCATAACGGCTACGCTGTATCAATAAACTAGCTCTTGGTCCGCCCACTTCCCCCGTCCCGTCCTCCCCCTGTCCTGTCTTTCCCCTCCCACATCGTCCCCATCCCTCGTCACCCCCTCCCCCTTCATCCCGCCCTCCCCCCTCCGCCCCTCCCCTCCCCACTCCCCCCCGTATTCCGCCTGCCGCTCTTCCCCTTACCCCGTGTCCTCCCGCCCCCATCAAAGCTTTCCCATCTCCTCATCTTTCCTCTCCCCCAATCTCCCCCTTGGCGCCTTCTCCATCTTTCCCCCATCCCCCTGGCGCAACAGGCGGAGGATGCGGAACCCATTCGCAACGGCGAGTCGCTCATGGACCCGCCCTGCCTACACCGCATCTCGCGCCCATCCCACGGCGCCGCGCATTCCTCCGGCGGCGCCACGCGTCCGTCGCTCACTGGCTCTCGCCCGGCAAGCGCGCCGATTCGAACCGACCGACCTGAGGCGCAACCGACGGCGCGTATGCCGCCCGCGAATCACGGCGACGAGCGGAAAGAAACGCGCCACGTGGCTTCAGCCGGCCACCACCCGCATCCGACGCGGTCGCGCTCCTACGTATCGTCTCCCGCGGAGCTAGAAGACGCGGTTCCTCCGCTTGATGCGCCGCGAGATGCAGAGCGGCGGAGAAGCTTTGACGGGTCGGAGTCGGAAAGGGCCAGCCTTATGCGCGATGGTGACTATAACGGATGCTATCCTCACGGGGGGCCGTTCGAGTCGCGCGAGGGCAATTACGCTAATTACCCGGGTTACCCTGCGCACGGGGTTGGAATGCTGGCGCGGCCACACTCACACCCCAACATGCACCCTCGACCGCATCAGTGCGGGTCAGAGGGGGATGAGATGCAGCAGCACCGGTACTACCAGCATCACCAGCACCAACAGCAAGCGCAGCAGCAGCGGATGTACTATCAGCAGCAGTGCCACCAGTATCAGCAGTACTTGCAACAGCAGCAGGAGCAGAATCGGGAGCACCAGCCGCAGCTGCAGCATCAGCAGCAGGAGCAGGAGCAACAGCAGGATCACCGTCGTTTTCACAGCAACCATTACCCGCATCCGCTCCCCCTACAGAAGCCCCCGCACTCGCGCTCACACACCCCACCCTTCCCCCCTTCATACCAACCCCCCCATGCGCCGGATTTTCCTCCACACGCCCCCCCGCGTTGCCCCCCCTCGTACCCCCCTTCCGCCTTCCCCAACCGGCCCGCGGGTGCGCCCATATGCCCGCCCGCGCAGAGGCAGCAGGGGGGCCCGGGGGAGCAAACGGCGCACAGGCAGCTGGAGCAGGGGCTTAGGACGCTGCCCAGACTGAAGGTGTGAGGGGATTGAGCCTGGGAAGCGAGTGAGACAGCACAGGTGAGAGCACGCAGCTGGAGCAGGGGCTTAGGACGCTGCGCAGACTCAAGAAGGCTGCCCACTCAAGAAAGGAATTTTCTAATCTGGGCCAAGGCGTTTGGGAGGGATGGGCACAGGAGGCGTGAGGGGGAGGATGCGAACAGGAAGTGTGAGAGGCTGGCTTGTGCAATAGCAGCAATGGAGGCTGAAGTGGGGCTGTGCAGATGGAAAGAGAGGGGGGTGGGGAGCGCCAATGCTAGTTGAAGCAGGGGAAGTGAGTGTGGGCATGTATGGGGGGGAATTGGCCGCGGAAGAGAGATGGGGTGGGGGGGTGAGGAGACTGGTGAGGGCTGTAAGTGGAGGGATGGGGGCACTGGGCAGTTGCCTTTTATGCCTTTAAACAGAACGGCGTGTCTTTTATGTAGTTGCCTTTTATTTTACAGTGGGGAATTATATGCAAAGGTAGCTGGAGCAGGGGGGTAGGAACTTGAAGTGTACTGCGGTATTTTTGTTGGCGTTTTAGCACTGCAGAAACTCCTAATATTATTATACTTGTGCACTCGAAATAGTGTGAAGATCAAGCTGGGAATAAACGTTCAACTTACTAGAATGATTGTGATGACATAGTTTAGGGTACAATCAAAAGCAACGGCACCACTGTACTGTTTTATCAGGCTCCTTTGCACCCCTTGAGATGGCCGCCGGGCCTGCAGCAGCCCACCTTACAAGCTGCTCAGTATTTCTCGAGAGCCTATGCTGATTCCCCCGACTTGCTTCGATATCCGAATTGCGCTGCTGTAACCTCAATGTTCCAAATTCGCAGGTTCTAGATTCCAGGTTTGATACTCCTCTCGAATCCTCCTGACTCCCTCGCACCAATCTCATGGCTTGCTGCCTTGGAGTCGAGCGATCATCGTCGTTCGGTATGCTTGTCTCCAAGTGCCGTCGTTAGCAATCGACGTCGCATGATTCGCCAGCGGCCTTTCGCTCATGAGCTGCTCCCGATCGCTTCTGATTTGCGAGTGCTACTGCTCTGAATCGTATATTACCGTTCTGACCTCCTTAAGCAGTGCTTATCAGTATTTTTTCTACTCAATTCCCGGAATGCAGGCGACCCAAAATACCTGGCACGGTACGCACTTGTGAGGGTCGCAGTACGATGCGTGTAGTTAAAATTTAGTGCAATTTCACGCTAATTTATTACGCTCCGCCGTCGTAAGCCATCGCATCCTCAGGCGCCTCGTTATAGTCACCCACCACCCGCCACGTCATCAATGACAACATCATCCTCCGTCACTTGCTCATTGCGCTTACCACCAGGCACAGCACCCGCTGCCAGCTCTTGGTCACTGCGCTTTCAACCCCAAAAATCAGTCCACGGAGCAATACAGTCACGCGTAGGGTGTGAATTCAGCGGCAGCTCACAACAATGGAGGTGCGCAACTGACAGAGCAACCCACGGAGCAACCCGCAGAGCAACCCGCAGAACAGCAACTCATGCCTGTCGAAGGCCAGGAGCAAGGGCAGGGGTGTGTGTGAGTGTTGCTGCTGCTGCTGCGGAAGAATCAGCAGGAGGAGGAGCAGGAGGAGGAGCAGCGGGAGGAGCAGCAGAAGCAGGAGCAGAAGCAGCAGCAGGAGCAGCAGCAGGTGGGCTAGCAAGCAGTCCAGCAACCCCTGCCAGCCCAAGACAAAGAGTAAGGGCAGACATTAACGCGATTGTTGCAGCTGCTGCTGCTGCTGCTGTGGCGGCGACAGTATCTGCAGGAGCTGCTGAGAAAGCAGCGGCAGCATCAGCAGGAGCGGCAGCAGCAGGGGGGGTGTCAGCGCTACCACCAGTGGCAGGGAAGGCGGTGCGAGTGGTGCAGTGCGTGTCTCGCTGTGCCCCCATGCTGGAAGATAACTTCCTCAACAACTCCGCCAGAACGGTGTACTCTAATGTGCTCATGCCTGGAGAACAATCTGTGGGGCTGTTAACATGGTTTCCGGCCCGTTTGATGGGAGCTGTGCAGCGATCAGAGACGCTGGTAAGTGCAAGTCATGTGCGCCAGGCCACTGCCTCACCACACCCCATGTGTGTCACCTGTTAGCATGGCTGCCGGCCCGTTTGATGGCAGCTGTGCAGCGATCAGATACGCTGGTAAGATGTGCTCCTGCTGCGTGCCCCACGCAGTATGTTCTTATGCCTGGCGCGAAATCGTTTGGGCTGTTAGCATGATTTCCGGTCCGTGTGATGGCAGCTGTGCAGCGATCAGAGACGCTGGTAAGTGTGGTTCAGTGCATTTACTGCGAGCACATTTCTCTCCACGTCATTGGTCGCTGCTCCCCTCACAATACGGAGTCAAACCACACGCATTTCATGACATCTGGACCCTGAATTTCATGCCACGTGGCAGGTTGTGATTGCTCTGCGGGAGTCGATCGTGTTTCTTGCCCTCATCGCCCTCTTTGCTGTCACACCTAACGTCTGCCGAGCCCTCAACTGGTAACCATTAACTGGTAACCATCAACTGAAAAGCATAGTCTGTTAATCATTACAATGTCATCTCGTTGCAATGCCATGTCATGTTTGGCTCTCTTGACTTTCTTGTGAAGACAGCCACCCAGGAACCATCCAGTTCTCAATCCGCTCATGTCATTTTGCCTCCACCATTTTGGAGACATCTCAAAATAATATTGAGACGTCTGAAAGGTTTACAATCCACTTATGTTAGATTCTCTCCTTTGCCCCTGCCAACCCATGCTTTGGGCCAACCTCATCATGCGACTCAATGTCTGGCCCTCTTGTCTCAAGGTTTTCAATCCACTCGTCTCACTTTTCCTCCTTCTTTACCATCCCCTCCCCCCAGGCTGTGGGCCTCCTTTATCATGCGAGACGGTCAAGTCACAGAGGAATGCTTTCAGGACTCCGTGTTTGGCGCTCTCGTGCTCCCCCTGCAGTTTGTTGCAGCCGCTTTCTTCCTCACCAGACAGTAAGGGAGCCACACTACTATCGCTCTTCGTTTATGCTGCTTTCGTTTTCACCAGGCAGAGGTTCCACCCTTACAAACACCCACACGCGCAAAAAGTAACGATTTGTAACCGTTCCCTGTTCTCTCTCACTTCCTGTCCCCCCTTTCCTCCCGCTCCCCCTTGCAGCATGCGTCTCCTTTTTTCACTGGCCAAGCTCCTTCCTCCTCCGTCGGTTCACAATAGTTTCAGTGGTGGTGGTGCCAGTGTGGGTGGCAAATCCCCTTCTTCGTCTTTCCCTCTCTCGCTCACTCCTCCTCCTTATCCTTGCAGTATGCGCCTTCTCCTGCCTCTAGCCAAGCTCCACCTGAGCCCGTTCCTCCTGCGGAGGTTCAGAATGGTTTCAGTGGTGGTGGCGGTGACGTGCTTTGCAGTGGGGTGGAAGGACAGAGTCATGCGGATGGTGCTGCAGAGGCACCCGGCTGAAAAGGTGAGCAGAGTGGACCGTGTGTGTGGGCCTAGTGCTCTCTCTACTGGTGGCGTTGGTGATGGATTTACCTACTATCTTTTAAAGAAGCTGCGGTGCTGTCAGTGCTGGTGGTGACGTGCTTTGCAGTGGGGTCGAAGAATTTTTTAGGCGCCTCAAAAGTCGTCTTTTGAGGCGCCTCAAAAGTCGTCTCATGTCTCGCGTTTTTTTTGCTGGTGGTGACGTGCTTTGCAGTGGGGTCGAAGAACGGGGATATCCCCCCCTCCCATCCGCCCCTCATGCCCCCCTCTCTCCCCCATGCCCCCTCTCCTCCCACCAGCCCATATTGCTCAACGTCAGTCGTTTCCTCTCGCTGCTCATCCACCTCGTGGGGGTTGGCACGCTGCTATACCCACCTGATCAAAGCTCTTCCGCCTTTCCCTCCCCACTCCTCCCCCCTCTCCCATCCCACCAGCCCACCTTGCTCAACGCGAGTCGCTTCCTCTCGCTGCTCATCCACCTGGTGGGGGTGGGCACGGTGCTACCTCAACCTGCGAACCACCTCTCCCATCCGCCCTCATCCCCCCTATGCTATGCCCGATGCACCAACGCCCCGCCCACCAGCCCATCTTGCTCAACGCGAGCCGTTTCCTCTCGCTGCTCATCCATCTTGTGGGAGTGGGCACGGTGCTGGACCTATTCGGTGTCTCCCTCCTCTCCCTGGTGGCTGTGGGCGGCATCTCAGGTGAGGGAGTGAGGGAGGGAGTGAGGGAGGATTGAGTAAGTGCGTCAGAGCTGGCTGAGAGACCTAGTGGGAGTGGGCACGGTTCTGGACCTATTCGGTGTCTCCCTCCTCTCCCTGGTGGCTGTGGGCGGCATCTCAGGTGCGAGGGGGTGCGGGAGAGAGTGAGGGAGGGGAGTGAGGGGGTGAGTGGGCACGGTGCTGGATCTCTTTGGCGAGTCCATCCTCTCCCTGGTGGCTGTGAGCGGCATCTCAGGTGGGCGGCATCTCAGGTGGGCGGCATCTCAGGTGGGCGGCATCTCAGGTGTGGAAGGAAGTGATGGGGTGAGTGAGGGAAAGTGAAAGAAAGTGAGGGAAAGTGAAAGTGGATAAAAACACCCACTCAACCCTCAGAGATAAAGCACCCACTTTCCACCTGGAATCTCCCTCCGACCTTCTCAAATGCCAGGTGTCGCCATGGGCTTTGCTTCCAAGGAGATGGTGGCCAGTTTTTTTGGCGGGCTGGTGCTGGTGTTCTCACAGCCGTTCGTGGTGGGGGAGATGGCTAAGGTAACAGCAACACACACGGCATGGCCAACCCTCTTCCTTTTCCTTCCAGTGCACCGAGCACCTTTGAGAATTCTCAAAAGTGATTCCCAAGTCTCAAAAGAGAATTCTCAAAAGTGATTCCCAAGTCTCAAAAGAGAATTCTCAAAAGTGATTCCCAAGTCTCAAAAGAGAATTCTCAAAAGTGATTCCCAAGTCTCAAAAGAGAATTCTCAAAAGTGATTCCCATGCGGCATGGCCAACCCTCTTCCTTTTCCTTCCAGGGCACCGAGCACCGCTCTTCCCAACCCCCTTCCCCCACCTCCCCAAATGTTAGGTGTCGCCATGGGATTCGCCTCCAAGGAAATAGTCGCGAATTTCTTTGGAGGGCTAGTGCTGGTGTTCTCACAGCCATTCGTGGTGGGGGATATTGTTAAGGAGACCCCCACCTCCCCAAATGCCAGGTGTCGCCATGGGATTCGCCTCCAAGAAAATAGTGGCGAATTTCTTTGGAGGGCTAGTGCTGGTGATCTCACAGCCATTCGTGGTGGGAGAGCGCATTCAAGCAGGGGCCATATCGGGAAGGGTGGAGGAGGATGGTACAGGAAACAACCACCCCACGCCCCCACTCCCGCCTCCCTCAACCCTTTGAGATAGAGCATCCCCTCTCCACCTGGCACCTTCCCCCAACCTTTCCGAATGCCAGGTGTCGCGATGGGATTCGCTTCCAAGGAAATAGTCGCTAATTTCTTCGGCGGGCTAGTGCTGGTGATCTCACAGCCATTCGTGGTGGGAGAGCGCATTCAAGCAGGGGCCATATCGGGGCGCGTGGAGGAGATTGGGTTTCTGCACACCAAGCTGGCTGGAGCAAACAAGGCGCCAGTTGTGGTGCCAAATCAAATCTTCAACACTGCAGTGAGTGCGCCTATAACGAGTACGTCAGGGACATAGAATGAAACAATTTAAGCAGGGGGGCATATCGGGGCGGATGGAGGAGATTGGGTTTCTTCACACCAAGCTGGCTGGAGCAAACAAGGCGCCAGTTGTGGTGCCAAATCAAATCTTCAACACTGCAGTGAGTGCGCCTATAACGAGTACGTCAGGGACATAGAGTGAATCAATTTAAGCAGGGGGGGCATATCGGGGCAGGTGGAGGAGATTGGGTTTCTGCACACCAAACTGGCTGGAGCAGACCGTCAGTGGTGGTGCCCAACCAGATCTTCAACACTGCAGTGAGTGCCCCTATTACGGCTATGCCGGTGTGCTTATAACGAGTATTTTGCGAGTCACACTCTCAGCGCAACACGGAGTGCTCCAATACATGGACATATATATATATGTATATATATATATATATATATATTTTCTCTCTCAACAAATCCCTGCGACTGAGTGCTCCATTACATCTCTTCATCTGCGGGATTGGACCAATGGACGTTGTGGGATTGCAATTTGCAACACATTTTATCATCACAGAACCATACATATTATCCTATCATCCTCGCACTCCCACTCCTGTCCTGACATGTTACCCATTCCCCTCAAACCCTGCCAGGTGATCACCAACTTCTCCCGTGCTCGGTGCTACCCTGTAGCCGTCACATTCGAGCTCAGAATAGAGGATATCGAGCGAGTGCAAGCCATCACGTCTCGCATCACCCGCATGCTCAGGTCGCATGCTGACGTGGACCAATCACAGGGCCCCGCGCATGCAGTGCTGAAGGACCTCAATGGGGCCAGTCTGCATGTGGGCATGCTGGCTTCGCTAAACCCTCAGGTGAGATTTCAGGTGATTCCAGGTGAGTTCAAGTGTTTTCTTTGGCATTAGCTATTGCAATTGGTACTCGAGCATTTTGTCATGTCGTCATCCCCCAAACGATACCTGGCTTCTATGCAAGTCTATTTATATTTATATACTATTAATAGATATACATGTATTTGTGTATATATTTATGCGTGTGCATACAGTCGTATAAATGGTTGCTAGATAACTACCTAACAAATTTAGATGCAACCATCTGGTACGCCAGTGGTTGGTACCAGACCCTTTCATGACTGCTACGGCTGGTATGTTTGGGGCGCGATTGCCCAGGGTTGTTGATGGCTTTTATACTTCCTATCACTAAGAGCCATGCTCCTTTTCACTGGTATGATGCAGGAAGGTAGGAAGGTGGTGGACGTCAAGCAAGAAATTCTTGAAAGAGCAGTGAGAATCATTCTGGATGAAGGAGCATGTATAGGCACAAACGTACAATTTCTTGATAGTGGTGCGAATTCGTCATAAGGCTCCGCAAGGAAAGGGTCAAGATGACATTGATCACCCTTGTGCATGATACTTTCCTACCTACTAAATGAGATGTTTGCATCATCCATTTTATCCTCCGCGGCGCCTTTATTAGCGAGGAGTACATTTCATAACCATGCCTTTCGATATACTAACGCATGGTGCACACATACTGCTGTTACCCAACAACTTTAAAAAGCTCACGGGGAAATCATTGGAATATTTGAAAGGGCCAAATGTGCATCTTATGGTATGTTTCTAAATATTGATTCCCCGCTTTCATTCTGTAACATCACCCATGTTGACTTGATGTGCTCCCTCTGTCATCACAAGGTCAACAGCGTCGTCGTGGTCAGTCCGAAACTCACTTCAGAGCAGTCCGAAACTCACTTCAGAGCAAGTCCGAAACTGGACATGTTCAGTTGACGAATGTGCTCCGATATAGGCCACCTCGCTTCCTGCGGGCCTGCCCACTTCGGTGCTAAGGGCGTGTCCAGTTCGTTCATTCGGTATTTTTCGTGCCAACGCACGTATCGAGGTTAAAAAATGACTACTGTACCTAGAAACGAATGCATTGTGAGTGGAGTCCAACCATCCTGTAATTTCAGAAGCGCGGACACATTCCCCCGCCACACGAATCAACAGTGCTCTGACCACGTTGAAAACGAGGTAACAGTTTCCCTCGTCAATCATAGCTTGAAACTTTTTGTGCAGGCGCAGGGGGGCGCTGGCGAGTAGAGCGAACCACTGACGAAATGTGCAAGCGATACAAGGGAAACGAACTGTAGTGGCCAGGACGCGGTGCTGTACCCTTGTTCGCGTCTCTGCTGATTCCAGTAACGTGAGTCAGACGACTCTAGGTACGTGCATGGGGCGTGCCGTCTTGCGAACAGAAGCTGATTGTGTCCGCTGGACACGTTCAGTAAAGGGTTACCACAAAAATGTGGTGACTGAGGGTGTTTACGAACAGTAAATGTACGAGCTGGACCCCCCTAACCAACTTCTAATGTTTTCAAACGTCCTCCCTTCCTTCCTGTCTTGCTGCTGTGCGACCCGTCCGTCCTGTCCCTTCCAGTCCCGTGCACGCCAAGGGAAGGGATGCACCGTCCCACAAAGCAAGGCCAACCAACCATTCTCCGAAAATATTTCCCTTTTCTCAATGGACGGCGGATGCTAGCCCTAGAGGTCTCAATCCACGGCAAAATGCTGCCCACACACTTTCTCACCCCTGAGAGTTTCGTCACACACAATCCAAGCCACCAAGCCACCTTCCTTGACACCTTCCGTGTCAACCTCGCCTCACCAACCTGTCCAACTCTCGCGCCCATTCGCACCCATCGCACCCTCCTTAATTTGCATCCGCCGCTTGAGCACCGCAATCATATTTCTTCGAGGCTCAATTTCTGTCAGCCATCATCCACTCCACCTCTCGTATCTCCTCCAGCAGTATTCTCACACTTCTCGCTAATCAGTCCACAGTGAGCGTTTAGTAGTGTCTGGAACTCCTTGCTGCACCTTCTCAGATATTTTCGTATATTCTAGAAATCGCAAAAACTTCTTGGTGTATAGTAGTAGTCTATTCAGCGCCCGGCAACTCCTCGCTGCCTCGGATATTACCAAACACGGTCGTCGCAGCCACATATTTCGTGTCGACTCTGATTTCGCATCGCAAGCCGCACCTTTTTCTTTCCGCAGCCTCCGAATATCATTATTATCGGCCTTCTCGGAATCTCCACTTTCAGCCACGTCCCACGGATCAACTCGCCAACACCTCGCTAGACGCTCGTTTATTAACTCGCGGAGATTTCTACACCGCATTCATGGGCAACTTTCTGTAGCAGCGGTTTTTCTAACGACGACGGGTATGCGGCGCCGGTGAAAGTGACTAATGCGGGCGGTGAGTAGCAAATCCATGTCAGCAAAAGCACTAAGTTCCCCGTCAGCCTGTTTATCGTTCGTGCCACAAAATGAATGTTCCCTGAAGATTGAATTCTTCGACCTAAAATATTTTTCCCCTCCGTTTTGCTAATCTTTTCGTCTGCAAGCTGCCCCTCGACAGTGGATTCCACTGCCTTTCCACCTCATTTCTGACCCCGTTGACCTCTTTGACCTCTCTGACCTCTTTGACTGCTTTGACCCCTTTGACCCCTTGACCTCTTTGACCCTCTTGAGGCGCCTCGAAAGTTCAGACTCACTGACCTACCGGTTCCCCATTCCCCCATTGCCCCGCGCAGGCAATTCCGCTCAACCTCCCGCAACCACTGGCGCGCACCAGTTCCCCGCGGCTACCATTCCGCAGTATACGCCGTCCCCCGTGTCGCCCTACCGCCAATGCCATTCCGCGCCTATCCGCGGAGCGTCCCCCTACCATTTTTCCGCCGTCGTACCCGTCAGCCCCTCCCCCCCGCCTGCTCAGTTCCCCGGAAGCAGAGCCACTCCACCCCCCGCCTCCTCCTTCCCCCCGTCCCCTTCCGCCAACCCTAATAATGGCTCCGCCGCCTCCCCTTCCGCCAGCCCCAGTCTTCGCGCAAATGCCTTCTACGACTCCGCATATCATGCTTCCGCTTCCACCACTACTTCATCAGCGGAACCGCTTCCCCCCGCCATAATTTCCGCGGTGTCTTCCGCCAACCAGTCCGCGGGCAGCTCCGCGGGGTCTTCCGCTAGCCAGTCCGCGGGCAGCTCCGCGGGGTCTTCCGCCAGCCAGTCCGCGGGCAGCTCCGCGGGGTCTTCCGCCAGCCAGTCCGCGGGCAGCTCCGCGGGGTCTTCCGCCAGCCAGTCCGCGGGCAGCTCCGCGGGGTCCTCTCGCGGGGGGAACTCCTCCGCTTCCCCCTCCGCCGTCCCTGTGCTCCGCGAGTTCAGCTTCGCGGATCTGCACATGGCGACGGGGGGGTTTTCGCGCGCCATAGGGGAGGGGGGGTTCGGAAAGGTGTACCAAGGGCGGATGGTGCTGCCTGCGGGCACTAGCAGCGGCATTGGCGGAAGCAGCGCCGCTGGCGGGAGTTACGCCATGGGCGGAAGCAGCAGAGCTGTTATGGGCGCAATGAGGGAATGTGACGTGGCAGTGAAAGTGATGAATGGAAAGAGTGCTACTCGTGACTTGACGAGCTTCAAGGTGAGCGAATAAGCAAATCACTTGTGGGAGTTCTCACCAAAGCAAAGCAGACATCAGCCATCTGTGCTAGCTCTCAACGCTCTCAATGCTCTCAATGCTCTCAATGCTCTCAATGCTCTCAATGCTCTCAATGCTCTCAATGCTCTCAATGCTCTCAATGCTCTCAATGCTCTCAATGCTCTCAATGCTCTCAATGCTCTCAATGCTCTCAATGCTCTCAATGCTCTCAATGCTCTCAATGCTCTCAATGCTCTCAATGCTCTCAATGCTCTCAATGCTCTCAATGCTCTCAATGCTCTCAATGCTCTCAATGCTCTCAATGCTCTCAATGCTCTCAACGCTCTCAATGCTCTCAATGCTACCAAAGCTCTCAATGCTCTCAATGCTCTCAATGCTCTCAATGCTCTCAATGCTCTCAACGCTCTCAACGCTCTCAAGGCATTTCATTCATCCTTCCATCCATCCACTCCTTGCTTACCAGCCAATCAACTCTCCCTCTTATCTGTTCCGTGATTTCAGGCTGAGGTGGAAGCCATGTCAGCGGTGAATCATCCCAACATTCTGAGGCTGGAAGGCGTGGCACTAAACACATCCCAGGGGCCGATGCTCGTGTATGAGCTCATCCCTGGAGGCGATGTTAAGAACTTGCTCAAACAAGGTGAGATAATTTTCCTCTCACGTTGTTCAATGGCTTGGGGGAGTGAGGGAGGGGACAATGTGCAGTCAAAGCTTGTGTATGAGCTGATACCTGGAGGCGATGTCAAGAACTTGCTCAAACAAGGTGTGCCTATTTACCTTACACTCCCTTACCTTCAACTCCCCACCCCTCTCCACCCTAATTTGTCTTCTCTCTTCCATGTCCTCTCTCGCATTTTTATTCCTCCCTCCCATGTTTTGCCTCTAATCCCCCTCTCTCCTTCGTCCCCCCTCCCCTCCCCTCTCACTCGTTCCCCATTCAGTCCAGTAAGCTTATGTTCACTTCCAATGGAGGAATCGCATGCACTAGGGTGCTTTTTCGAACCGCCTCAAAACCCCACTTCTCCCTCCCACCACCTCCCCTCTCCCTCGGCCCCCCCCTCTACTACCCCATTCAGTCCAAAAAGAATATAATCACTTCCCATGGAGGCATCACATGGAGGTGCTTTTGAGGAGTCTTTTGAGATGCCTCTAATTCCCCCTCTCCCCCCCCCTCCCCTCTCTCCTGCCCCCATTCAGTCCACAGAAGTGGTCTTTACTTCCCATGGAGGCATCGCATGAAGGTGGCACTGGGCTGTGCCGAGGCGCTAGCCGCCATTCACGAGCACAAGTTCGTTCACCGCGATTTCAAGTCGTCGAATGTGCTTCTGCGAGAGGTACGCAACTATATCCCTTATGTGTTTTCTGTACGTTCGGTTT